TTTCGGATTGTCCGATTTAGGTCAAATATGCACCATTTTGTTGTATGATTTGTTGCCATTTTAAAGGTAACTTCAAAATGCCTCTCTCATAGAAGTCCTGGTCTCTATTTACAAAAAACTCTAGTAGTCGATTTTCACAATCCTCCCTAGATTCCAATTTTTTATGATTAAAGAAATTTTGCAATGCAAGAAAAAGATGATAATCGCTTGGTGCCAAGTCCGGACTGTATGGCGGATGCATTAAAACTTCCCAACCAAGCTCCCGAACTTTCTGGCGAGTCACTGTAGATGTGTGTGGCCTAGCGTTGTCCTGGTGGAACACGACACCTCTCCTGTTGGCCAATTCTGGCCGTTTCTGGTCAATCGCTATCTTCAAACGGTCCAGTTGTTGACAGTAGAGATCAGAATTTAACGTTTGGCCATATGAAAGCAACTCATAATAAATAATCCCCTTCCAGTCCCACCAAATGCATAGCAAAACCTTCCTGGCCGTTTGAGGTGCTTCGCCGCTCTTTGACCACGATCGTTTTCGCACAGGGTTATCGTATGTGATCCATTTCTCATCTCCAGTCACCATCCGCTTAAGAAATGGGTCTATCTCATTCCGTTTGGCCAAGGCTTCGCAGATGGAAATTCGATCCATCATGTTTTTTTCTGTTAATTGCTGTGGCACCCAAACATCGAGCTTCTTTTTAAATCTAGCTTTGTGTAAATGCTTTAAAAAACTGTTTTATGGTCGATTTATAGCTCCTGGGCGATGTTACGACGGCTAACATGCCGGTCAACTTCGATCATTTCTCCGATTTTATCGACATTTTCGAAGACCGGCCTAGCTGTGCGAGGTGCATCTTTAACATCAAAAATTCCTGAACGGAATCTACGAAACCAAAATTGCACATAATTGGCTGTTACAGTATCGGAACCATAAACACCATTCACAATTTTAGCCGCCTGGCTTGCATTTTCGCCTTTATCAAAGAAAAACTGTAAAATGTACCGAATTTTCTCTTTGTTCACTTCCATTTTTAACACGCTGTAACTCACAACTGAATGCACCAAACAAAAAACAGTAAAAGAATTTTTTTTACTGCGAAATGTCACCTTTCCAACGAGCATAAATCTGAAATTGTTTGATCGATACTTTACGAGAAATCTATCAGTGCAGTCATCTACCGAAAAAATAATGGATTTCTTTTTCCCCAAACTAATATTTTATTGTAAAAGTTTGCTTTACACAAAAAAAAAACATAAAAGTACTCATACTCATATTACTGTAGAAAAGTACCTTGAAAAAGACGTGCACTGGTCACTCGGTTATCATATTATATATACTCTTATCTCATTATTGTGTAATCTTATTTGGAAATGTATTTTTCCCCCTTCTTTTTTGTATTGCTGCAAGACTCCGTGACAAGACAAGATTGCAAATGCAGAATTTTTACAAAAAGTAACGAGAAGTAGCGTAGCAAACGAATTACCTTACAGTACTGACGGAAATTCATTTCATCCATGATATTTAAATTAAGCCGTCCAAGTTAATGCATACGCTAAAGATGCAAAATTATCGCATATATGAGTAAAACTCTAGGAAAGACTTTTTGCTGTATAATTAAGTGCAATACGCAGCTTAGCTGCCCTGCATTCCGATAAATAAGTCGTTATAGACATATATATACACATAAGGCTAAAGAAAGATTTTATTAACTAGCAATCGTACGTACAATGGGTGCTTAGTCGGTGAAAATTGGGCTGCGGTTGCCGCCTCCACATCTTTTTCTCTGTCCATACTTTTTACTGACTCTCACCGTGTAACACGATTTGTTATATTAAAAAAAAAAAAAAAAAAAAAAAAAAAAAAAAAAGAGGAAGAGGAAGAGGAAGAGGAAAAACATATCATCAATCATATCATCCTTACGCTCGCTCTCGTATTGTCTAAATATTTCATTTTAAGAAAATATGATCGTTTTTGCTTTCCCTAATACCTTAGGTAAATAATTTGTTATTGAATGCTTCATCAATAGTCACAATGGTCGCAAAAACTTTTAAATGAACACGAATTTTACGGAAAGATAGAAGCGATTTTTCCACCAATATAGTCTCTTAAGATTTCGTTCTTAGGGATTTCGTTCAGCCAAGTGCATTAGAAACATCTGCTGAGTGGTTCTGATCAAAAAAAAAAAAAAAAAAAAAAAAAAAAAAAAAAAAAAAAAAAAAAAACCCTCTAAACAAGATTTGAAAATTTTTAACGCCAACGAAGAATTTTCGAGAAAGATCTCAATAGTTCTTCTTCTTCTTTTATATGCAATCTTATCGGATATTTACCCATCTGAAAGAGATATTGATACCCAATATCGATTTTTGTTCAATTCTCTGCATAAAAACAAATTAAACTTTAATATAACAAATCGGAAAGGTATTAACGGCAACGGAATGACTCTTGAACGATCGTCAATTGAGAAGTCACTTCGATTATAGACGCGTTCGCAATCTTTCCAATCTAAGAATGGAAATCAAGTTAAGCTTCTATATCAATTTTTGACGAATGACATATGAACGGATCCATGTCCGATATGTATAATAATTGCCTAAAAGGTTTTGTTCAAAATGAATTTCCATAAAATCTATTACTTTAAGATACCTTAACGAGTGTGCTGAGAAGTAATCTTAATTTTTCTTTTTCCAAAAGGATGTCGTAAAGGAAATCGGTTTTTTATTGAAGTTACGCGAAAAAGGAACTCAATACCTGGCCGTTGCAATCGTGACGATATATTTAGTATGCATAGATTGTTTGAAGTCAACCTTATAATGTACATATAAAAATTTATTGAAATGCTTTACAAGCACCCTCTTTAATGATACGATGAATGACTGAAACATATACATATACACACGCACACACACATATATATATTGAATTTTGCATTACTTATATATATATATATGAAAGGCAACTGATTTTTAAAATTGACCCCGTAAAATGCGTTTACATTGCAGCCTTAGACATAATTTACGACAAATTGCTTAAAAATGCATATATATATATATATATGATACAATGAAAGTAAGGATGTATGCGTACGTATGCCAATTACAAGTGTCAATTGAAATTTATAATGACAAGTAAGTGAAACAAGTAAGAAAACTGCTCTAGTTCTTGGCTGCGCGAATGTTGAACACCTTTTAAATCTCTGGAGTTTTCTTTTTTTTTTTTTTTTTGTTCTTCTTTTTCTTCTTCTTCTTTAAGGATGATATAGTCAGATTTCGTAGGTAGTTTTAAGAAAGTTTTGAAGCATCATTAATTTCTGAATTGATCTAAGCTTGGTTGTCCATAGGACGAAATTTTTCAGATAATTTGATGAATTCCGCTATACTGACGTGTTTTGGATCAAGGACGAGAGTTATTGAAAATGGTTCGGATCGAATCAATTGTACGTTCCATTTCTCATATAATGGCTTATTGTGAAAAGTCGATTTTTAATTAAGTATCGTGCGCTTTTACTTGTCTAAATGTGTAAATGTGTTTGAAGGCAGATCACGTTCACATTTTTCAATTTTCAATTCATGTAATAGGACTGCTTGTAGAAAATGGAAAACAATCAAAGGTGATCAATGGCGATCTTAATCGAACAATGCCCAATGGACGGACAAAGAAACAGCTACGTGGATAAGCCGGTACATGTATTAATTTATTTATTTACGCTTTATAATCCTCCCCACGCGTGCTTCTAAGAACAAAAAAAAAGTCAAAATAAATGATTTTTTGATGTTGGATTAAAAACGGAGATCATTTGTGAACTTATTTACCGCATACCGCTCAACACTCATTATATTAAAAATCGCTTACTAGCGGGACTTTACATATAAATCATTTAAAAATCATGTGTAAAATGCTTTCGTTTTTTTTTTTATTCAAAATTTATATGTGCATATATATATATATATATATATATATATACCTGTGAAAAAAAAAATAAATAAGATATTATTTACTTAGAAAAAAAAAAAAACATTCCGAAAATTTTTTATATACGTATTCCTTTTCTCAACAAAAAAAAAAAAAACCAAGAAAAAAAACCTTTTCACTTAAAAGAGTTCCTCTTTAACGAGAGAGAGAGAGAGAGAGAGAGTACAGGTCAGTTAATCTCAATGCATAAATGATGGCTAGATGAACCCCAATTAAGCGGAAGACAATAAAATAAATACATGCATAAACATTTCAAACTCTCTGTGTGTGTGTGTATGTGTGTGTATTTGTATGCGTGAATTTACATCTCTCCGTGCGCGTATGTGTGTTTTGTTCCAAAAGAGTTTTCGAGGGTTTCGATTAAGAAATACATTTGCATATGTATGCTCAGTGGAATATGATGTTTTATGGATGTACTAACGATTATTGTCCAATACAATGCAAACGATGTACATGGGTACTGTGTGCATTCACAATTGCATAGTACATATGCATAATATGAGCCGGTATGTCAAGTTGAAGTATACAAAGCCAAAAAAAACAGAAGAAAAAAAGAAAAAAAAAAAAAAAAAAAATATTAAAAAAATAAAAAACACTAGCACTAGCACTAGCACTAGCATTAGCTCTAGCACTAGCCTTAGCACTAGCATTAGCATTAGCACTAGCACTATCAAGCTAATTACGGATACTATACATTTACTAAGCAACATTATTTTGTATATATGCGAGAGTGTGAGAGTGTGGCTGCGAGTTTGTCGACTATATGTATGACTGGGTATATGAATGTGTGCGTATGTTTGCTTATAAATTCACAAAAAGTATAGAGTGGAATAACGGCAAATCAACTATTCGTAGTCATAGTCACAATCAGTCTCAGTCACGACACAAACATCGATCGACGTACCGATCATATTCCGAAATTGAATCGGCGCAACTGGATTAAAGGAAAAGGAGCCACCTTGGGGCATTACTGCGGTGCACGTTATCAATTAAACATCATCAGCAAAATAATTAGAGAAAAATTCGAAAGAAAGAAAACCAAAAAAAAAACAAAAAAGAAGAAAAGAAGAAAAAAAAAAAAATCATTTCATTTAACTTTAATTTATTACTTTAATGACTCGCGATCGTCTTGCATGTTATTCGAATGTATGTATAAAGCAGCGCATAATTGAACTTCTAACCTGTGTTCGATTATTTAATTAATTAGAAGTGCATGTGATTTTAAGGGGTGCATCGCTAGTTAACAATGAACTATGAAATGTGCACGAGATTCACTTTTCAATTGAAATGTGAGAGTCTTTGTTAAATCATTAACTCGTGAAAAGTAATTTTAATCAAATTTTTTAATGAAAAAGAAAATCTATAAATAAATTAATCTATACATAGATGGATCATTGAAGATATTGAGTTTTTTTTTTTTTTTACTTTTATTTATTTATTTATTTAGTTATTGTTCTTATGTTATTTTTATTCAAAAATTTATGTTTTTAAACATATATATATATATATACATAATGTTATATACATATATGTATGGATACGATAAATATATATAAATATTTAATTAAATCATCTATTTAAAAATAACTAAGAAAAGAAAATTGAAAAAGGAAAAAGAAAAAAAAAATAAAAATAAAAATAAATAAATAAATAAATTAAAATATACTATAGAAACCCATACACTCAATTATGAAGCAAGAGTAGTGTGAAAAGTGTCATTTAAGTTTTTTTTAATTTTTTTATTTATTTATTTATTTTTATTTTTTTTTATTTTGTTTTCTCATTTTTATAGTGTTTTCAAAAATGTGTGCAAAAATTTGACGTAAAGTAAAGGCAACAACGTAGAAAAGCTAATAAAGCAGGGGTGTATATGTACGTACGTATGTACGTAGCAAAATACATAAATATATGCAAGCACATGTAGTAATGCCTGAAATTGGGGAAAATTTTACACGCAATTAAATCAAAGCAAAATCAACGAATTTTAAGGAAAAAAAAAATAAAAAAAAAAATCTGGAAAATTGTTTACTTTTAATTGCAGTTAAATTTGGAATTAAAAATTTGCTAACAAAATGGATCAAGAGCAGCCAAGCAGTGCATCTTCGGAAACTGGCCGAAGGACGGAAACAACAGCAACAGATGAAGGTAATTAGCTTTAAAGTCAAAGTCAAACGTAAACACAATTGCAGTTTACGATGAGTGGGTGCTGTGTTGAGACGGAGAGAGGGGATGGGTTGAGCATATAACGAAAGGGGTTTTTTTTTTCCCCCCCCCTTTTCCAAAGTACCTCATTGATAATGGATTTCATCTTTAGACAATTAGTTAAGCAGAAAAATTGCCATTATATCTAATACGGTAACGGACGGGCTGTGTATTCCACGAGAGCAATTTCAATCAACGATTAATCCCATGAGAAATAGGCAAATGTCGAACAATATCTTTACAGATTGGTCTGCGGTATATTCTATCAACATTTAATCTCACTTCTCAAAAAGTCCTATTGCCGAAAAAGGCCTGCCCTGCCCTATGACAGACATTTGCGTGATGTACACTTCCGTAACAGAGAATTAGCGACATTACAAACAGATTTGTTGCGGTTTGTTGTGATTTCTATTGCAAGCAACGTTGGCGACACATACTCTAAAGGTGTCAAAAGTGTCAAAGAGTCCTACCGATAGATCATCTGTTTTATCACCCATAACAATTCCAAGTGTAAGTTCAATAGAATATGTTCCAAGCCAAGCAATTCCATTCTATTTATATAAGCGTGGGCCATCCCATCTCTGGCGAAGAGTTATTTGTGCAAACTATCACAAGCAAAGGCGAAAAAAATCTTAAATAATTAAAACTTTAGTTGGGAATTGTGGGAATTACTTTGCTGTCACTATTTAGCATTGCAAACGATTTCCTAATTCGCATTGGCGAATAATAAATAGCAAAACCCCTTTTAAATGTGTTCAGGCAATGCGACAACTTTTTTTACATAAACACTCTTTCGGAATTTTATCGATAAGATTTCATCTATTCATGTTAAAGATAGATATCCTGTTCAGTTATATGAGTTAAACGATTTATATTAGCTCATAGTCTATCGTAATAGACCGTTGTTGACCACTTATGTTGAAAGATTGTAAACGAATTGTCGAGCATATATATATGCTCTTTTTTCCCTGAATCATCCAAACAAACAATCTTAATAGAGACAATAACAACAATAACAACAACAACGATATCTATTCAATAAATCTCATTGATACTTTGATAGACAATTTGCGAAAGATAGCAAACAATGAAACACAACAATGATGCACATATTTTGCATTAGTGACGTTAGCAACACTTAAGCACGAGCACTTATCATATCTCATTCTCACACGCGTACTTTCATTGACATATATATATATATATATATATATATATATATATACATATACATATATACTTAAGTAATTTATCTAATTATAAACATGATAAAATGTCAACTTAATGCACTCTACCCTTGATATGTGTGCCTTTTAATAGTGATAAACGGTTGCAAGCATTCCTAGCTGTCTTAGATGTCTTCGCTTATATTTATAGGGAAATATATAAAAAAGTCACGATTTTTGAATGCGAATAATTAATTAGGGAAATAATTCTGAGAGTTTTGTGAACCAAAAAAAAAAAAAAAACACGCAGGCCGGTGAAAAAGAGAGAGAGAGAGAGAGAGAAAGAAAGAGATAGATAGATAGAGAGAGAAAGATAGAGAAAGAGAGAGAGAGAGAGAGAGATAGTAAGAAGCGAGGGGCATAAATAAGAAATTGCGAATATTTTCTTCATCGTTAGCTACCTTAGCATTTAGTGGAAAACATGAAGATACGAATGAAAAAAAAATGCGGTATCAGCTTTCCTGGATTTAAAAAATTTGATAAGAAGAAGATATAGATTCGCGCAATTCATTATTAATACGTACATTAGAGGAATAGTAAAATTTAAATGAAATTCATCTATAATTGGTAAATTTTTTTACAGGCCTCTTGCATAAAACTCAAATCGCAACCGGTACTTCATTGACGAGATTTTTAATTTCTATGGCACCAGTTATGGGTAAATTCGTAAAAATCTTTTATGTAATAATAATTATGTGTTACACATAATTGTTCTCGTAGTCGTATGATTGATTGTTTTCTCATTGATATTCATCATTACATAATTCCATATTATATACAGTTTACGTGTGTGACATAACAACTTACTTGTTGATTTACTCTTTGCTTCCTAAAAATTAAATGTACAATGAAATGCTAACGCGTAGAAGCCAAGAAGGCAACTTGTAAGTAAGGCCTGCAACCTTTGTAAAATCTCGATTGAGTCTATCCATAATTTTGGATATATTCGCAATCGCGCTTCTACCGCGCGCGGGAGACATGTATGTACATGTCTCAATAAATGAATGATGAAATGATGAAATCTAGATATGTACGTACATGAAAGTAAAGAATATGTATTTTTTTGGAAAAAATTTCGAGAACGAGTAGATCGTAAGCAAAAGTGAAAAAATTTATGAGAAATTTCATCTACCAACCGTTTCAGGTTGAATATGTTTCACAAGCCAGCCAACCTATTTCCCATATGTCCAATATTCTTGCGTCGAAATGAAAAGCTAAATTTTCCAAAAAATTAATAATTCGCTTACACGCACACATTTCGATAAAAGTAAAAAAAGTGCGAAAGAAATAAAATAAAAAGTGAAAAATTTCAAAATAACATATATACGTAACAATCTAAGGATGAAAAATTTAATGGGATTATTAGAAAATTTTCAAAAATTTACTTTAAAACAAAAAAAAAATAAATAAAAAAAATATTTGCCCTTTCCATACAAAAGTCCTTGAATGGATAGCTCTATCGCCACTAGGCAAAAACTTAAGATATCTACACGTATTCATCGCTGGTTGAAGGCGACTCTTATTCTGGAAAATTGAAAATTCTTGCATAATGGTTCAAAATTTTGAAAAAAAATTAAAAAAAAAAAAAACGTCAGAATATTTCAAAATACTTTTCTCGTCACCTGGCAATCGTGACAGATAAATCACTATATCCACTACGGTAGAATAAAAAAAAGTTGCAACAATTTCCACTTTTACGTACAATTAATTGCAGAAATAGATAATAAGCGAGAGTAGAGCGAAGGCGAACACAACTTTTCCTGGGGGTAAAATTTTTAAAAAGTAAACTTTTCTCCTTTCGCTAATTATTTTGTTTAATCTTCTTTACGTAAAGATACA